CCCCCCCCCTCCGGGCTTGGATGATTCTGCAGAAATGGCTCATTGACATTTTATTGTTGGATTTTGTAGTGACTAATGTTTAGCTTCTTACGAAATAACGCTTTCTACGGCCTACCTCTCATTTCTTTTCACCATTACGTAGAGAACATAGAATTTTTTTAAATCTTTTTAAACACGTTTTTATAACCTTCACCTAAAAGCTTAAAAAATTCGAACGCGTTAACTTATACATGATGACTACTGTAGAAAAGTATAAAAGGTAAAATAGTAAAGATGGCTTTCCTTTTTCCTCTGCCTTAAAATAAATCCCCCTGATGCATATCACACCTTTAAATTTATTAACTATGTGGACTCCACACAAAGGAAACGAGGATGTTTGAAGCACCATTAGAAATAATTAAGCAGTAGAACCCATTCAATTACAGAAATGTGATTCGCGCAAAGTGCATATAAAATAGGCCATTTGCATGATGACGTCATTTTACTACTACAACCAGAATCCTTCAGGGTTTTGCTTTCTTGTGCAAATTAGGTCTTTTGTTATTTAAACCTCGCTGGGATTACAAAATTTAAAAAACATGAAAGGAAAAACGAAAAGGACTGTGGTCGTAGCAGTAAAACGACGCCATCGTGCAAATGGCCTATTCCTTCGCCAGTAGCACTCGCGGGTCCTCGGGGGAAAATTTGCCAGACCTCGCCTACCAGAAGTTTCTTTACACCCTTTAGGCCCTAGAAAAGAGTATCCACGTACAATTCACCGGACTGATTTCCATACATTTCCCTCAAAAATTAGTTGCGAGAATTTGATTTAAAAAAATCAAAGCATTTTCCTACTAGTGATCATGTTATTAATTCTCATAGGGTTTTCTCTTGATGATGTACTGATATCGTTGAGAGAAAATTCATGTTGATCACCCTTGTTACGTAAAGGATTGAGTATTTTTTTTTTGATGAACATCATAGATATTAGCAAATTTCTCCGCTTCTATTGTGTGTTTTCACATGACGTCATGGCGGCCATATTTGTATACCAAAACAATGAAACGGCAGCTATGTTTGTGAATTGATTGGGTACCAAACCAGTCCTGTGGGAGTTGTACTCTTTTCTGACGTCAACGCTTTCTTTTGTGCCAATAAATTTGCATAGATGCTGGCCACGTGAGTGAAAACACAGAATTAGCCATGAAGAGGGATTTTACTTTACCGGTCCGTAGAACAGATAATAACTACTAGTGCAAAATAGCTAAATATGTAACGAAACTGTAACACGATCGAATTAACCCATTTTTTTTAGAGGTTTTCGACTGGTTTTGTGGTTTCAACGACAAACACATCTCCTTTGGATCCTGTGGTTTTATCTGAGACTCAAACGCTGCTGATTCGAAAATGAAAGCAATTAATTTGAAGGGCGGGAGACGAAAAACCCCGGGGGTACTGCCATATATGGACTATACAGGTATGTGCCGCTGTGAAGGGTATGGTTTTCAAGCACTTTACTCTGGGATAGGGTATACAAATCAGAGAGTTTGTAATGGTAACAGGGCTGAGTGGAGTCCAATTCGGTCTGTAATGATACGAGTGATGCAGGAGTCGGATTTGTTTAATCACAAGTATTATTACAGACCGAATTAGACGACACGAAGTTCTGTTCCCAGTTAATCGTAACTTTAACAAAATTTGTGATATATAAGGCTCTTTTTTTAAAATCAAAACAGGAGAAATTCCATTTAAGCGCGCGCGTGATGGCGCGCTTTAGGCATGACACGTACGCTGAAATCAGGGCAGTTGATAGCCAATCAGATTTGAGAAATTTGTTGTAGTTATGATCAAAACAGGACAACTTCCATTTAAGGGCGCGCCTAATGGCGCGTACTGTCGAATTATTTAGGCATGACACGTACGCTGAAACCAGGGCAGTTGATAGCCAATCAGATTTGAGAATTTTGTTATAGTTATGATAAGAAACTGAGGGGAAAACTTCCGTGTTTGTTTGGACACAGACTATGTGTATGTATTTGATGCAAATCGATCCAAACAGCGCATTCAGCAGAAGGCCGCAGAGAAGTGACTGACATACCCTTGTTGTTGAGTATCCAAGAATGGGATCGGGACACAGTAGGGCACACTCACACCGAAATCCTACAACTTCCACGGGATTTCTTGGAAGAGACAGACAAGCTCAGGTAGGAAGTTGTAGGAGTCAGTGGATCTATCACAGAGGAACAAGGATAGATATTGTTTCAACCTAAGTGAACCAAAACTACTCCACTTGATGCCGAAGTTGACCATTAAAAAGAACTAGTACAAATTCGAATATAAACGTCTAGTCACTTCTTCACTCTGGACTCCCCTATCTTAAGCTTCGCAGGCTAATTGATAGGGAAATAGACCTATTGTTTCCACGGTTTTCTTTTTTCAACTTTTGACATAGGAAAATCCGTCGAATCCGTTGAATAGATCGAACCCCTCAGAAAATTGCCTAGTTTGAAGGCGATTTGTTGAAACTAACGAAGATGTAGTGAAACTCTATTAAGCGGACACCTTCGGGACCTTTCCAAGGTTTGTAAAAATTGCGCAATGTTTCTTAATGATTAACATTAAATGGTTACTCTGTACTGTGTTAAAAATCCATGTTGTTAAGCAAGCTAAGGAAGCTGTAGCCTGCGTAGCAGGAGCTCGGAAGTAGTGGGCACAAGAAAAAACGGGCACACGAAAAGGAGACACGCGAGAGGAGAGGTAGCTCCCTCACCCGTCGCGTGTCTTCCTCGCGCGCGCCCGTTCTCTCTTTCGCCCACTACTTCCAAATGCCTGCTACGCAGGCTAAGGAAGCTCTGCTGTACTTTGTGCAAGACTTTTGGGTGAACTTTGATCGCGGATGACAATCATAAGGCCGGATATCGGTCGTACTAATCTACAGTTTATTGACAGCTATTGACGTAAAAGCACTCTGCTAGCATTTACGACATTGTAGTATAATCAATTTTTTGAAAAAGACTCGTTGGGTACTCCTGAGCTAAATGTATTGATTTATCTTTATTACTCGACTACAGTACGTATTTCAAGGACGTAATCTAATACTACTAGTGTCAATTCAGTCCGATGTCCGCTTTTTAAAATGGAAGTTTTTAAACAACAGGAATTAGCCAAATTCAATTAGTTTTAGTGTCCACGTCCGCTTAATAGAGGTGTCCGCTGAATAGGGGTTCGTTATAAAGGGAAATACAAGACTTTAATTTCGGGACCCGGCTTAGTGCCCGCTTAATAGAGGATGTCCGCTTAATCCGGGATCCGCTTAATAGAGGTTTCATGGTACATACGTTTCTTTGGCAAATAGTACCCCTTTTTCATACCTAGTTTAGAACTTTGCATCCCTTTTAATTGCTGTAAATTCACTTTTCCTTTAAATATCAATTTAAAAAACCACAAAACTAGAAAATCGTCTCGCATAAAATCCTTCTGTAGCCCATTTTGATCACTTTGATTATTTTACCGACCGAAAACATAGATTTGCCTACACTTTCACATACTTCAACTAGTGAAAGCCCTACCCTTTCATATACCCGAAGCCTGAAAAAGATACTCCTTTCGGGTGGAGCCTGCCCGTAGATGTCATTGTAGGAAGAAGCTCCCCGGGAAATGAATCCACCCTTCATTATTGTCATTAATAATACACGTATTTTGATTTGTCTGTTTGCAGTTTTACAAGTTTAAAATTGAGGTAAATGAGATCACTGGTCTAGTTATAGGGAAAGAAATCAGAAAACGATGCGGAAACGAAGGGTGGCATCAGGATCTGGATGATGTGGATCGGACAACATTGAGATTTCTGAGAGCAGCCAACTCATTCATCCCTGATGCTAGGGACGATGGCGCCAACATGAGAAATTGTGCCTTCATTCTTANCATTGAGATTTCTGAGAGCAGCCAACTCATTCATCCCTGATGCTAGGGACGATGGCGCCAACATGAGAAATTGTGCCTTCATTCTTAGACAACCCGGAAGTGAGTTTGTCATCATTTCTGGAAACGGAGATTGGGAGTATGATTTCTGCGAGGGAGCCGATGGCGAGATTTATGGCCGCTGCCAACGCATGCCACTTCTGCGCTATGCTTGGAATGCAGCCAAGTCAGCGGTCGTTCGCGTATTTACCTTTGGTCTTTCAACTGGTTTGAGGGCTTTGACATATTTTTAAGAAAGAAGTGAAAAGCGTAACGCTGTCACTTTGCGCCTGTTGAGGATTTTAACATCATTTGGTTATACTTTTTCTTATGCAGACAACAAACATCAGTTTTTCAAAAGGTGCAAAACGCTATCCACTGAATAAATACACTAATCTCTATCCACTACATAATGAAATTGGATTCCCTTATGCTAATTATTTATTTATTTACCAGCTTTTCTGGACACAGGGCTGCCCAGAGGGAATGTGCACGAACGGGAGTTAGGTCCCATGCGAGGTGCAATCCCTACCCAATCCCACAACGCGTAAGGTTGGCCACACCACCGGGGCTACGACCCCTACTCTTTCCGAATAGTGATGTGGATTCTTTTACGTCCCACAAGAACAAATCAGTGAAAGTGCTGTGAGACGGGACCTACGGGTTTTTGTCCTTATCCGAGAAGACTAGAAAGTCTAACCATTTGCAGATGTCATTTCAAAGGCAGCACTTCCTTCTCAGTTATTAAAGGCCCTGAGTGTTGGTTCGGCCGGGGTTTGAACCCGCGACCTCCCGCTTGGCAGACCGGCGCTCTCCCAACTGAGCTAACCAGGCGGCGGCGGTTAATCCGTTGGATAGGGATTTATCCGGTTGATAGCGCAATCCAACTTTTGAACATCTGGGACGGATAGTTTACTTTTTCTTTTGGCTTATTGTGCCAATCATTATATATTAAGGACACTGACAGGGCACGGGAAATCATTGTCTTACCAAGAACTCTTAAATATATGTAAGTTGGACACTTTAGAGTGTACGAAAAAGCAGCGATCTCTGATCCTATTATTTAAATGCATTAGGAACATAGGGCCGAAATACATTAGAGACTTTTTTAGCATAAGAGAAACGTCTTACAATTTAAGAGCAAATGGTGTTAATCTCTGCGTGCCCAAATTTAATCTTAATTTTATGAGGAACTATTACTTACAAGTGCGCTTAACTGTGGAAAAAACTTCCAGAAGATGTTAAGCTGGCCGTTAATGTTAATATTTTTAAGTCTAAGCTAAGATCAATTCAGTTGTAATCTTTATATTTTAATATTTTTTTGTAATTTTTATAATTTTTTATCTTCACGGGTGCATAGATTTAGATTATACATTTAATATATATATATATATATATATATATTAGATATTACTATTGTAATTGTAGATTTAATGCACGTTCGTTTTTTGAAAGAGCACTTGTGCTCTTAGACGATAACGTGGGTAAATAAACTATTGTTGTTGTTATTTCTGTATGACATGAGCAGGTCAACTTTAACTTTTAATCTCGAAACTTTCGAAAGGTCTTCTCAAACTCATTAATAATTCATAAAGAAAATTCAAAGGAAATTAATGTTTAATGAGTGTTTGGATATCAGATGAAAAACTGCTCATTTTTGCATCCTTAATTTCTCCTTCAAAAATGATTTTGTTTGAGAAGAAATATCAAACATTCGGCGTCTCATGATTGATATATTACTTCTAATACGATTTAGTCAAATTCCTAGTTCAACTATCTATATCACGTATTTTTGTCTTTTACATTCCACTCATCTTTTAGTTACGTGCAGAACTGCTATGTCATAGGCTTTTCCTGTGCGTGGTTTTTGATTATCTCGATTTTTTTCAGCACTAATTATTTGCAATTTATAAATAATTTTGGGTCGCCCCGTGTAAGGGAATCCAAGCAGTCTTGGATTCAGGATTCCAGGTACTGGATTCTAGATTCTTTGTCAGTAGAACTTTGATTCTGGATTCCAATCGTAAGTGAGATCCGGATTCCTTGAGCTGTATTCTGGATTCCAGAGCCCAGGATTCCGGATTCCAAAAGCAAAAATTTCCCGGATTCTGGAATCCGAATTTCCTTACATGGGGGGGATTGGGCATTTATTGTTACAACTACCTATATCTCTTTTAATTAGGATTTGATGTAAATATTTGCTTTTGCTTCTGTTTACGACTGGGTTCATGACACACAACTTACTTGTTTACTAGCGTACAAATACAATTAAGGCACAAGGTAAATCAACCTGCGTTAGCTTTGCTATTATAGCTGTGGAGCTTAAAGCACTGTAACTCCCAAAAGGGTTCAACCTCTTAGTAATTCTGTGTGCAAGAAGTCAGTGAAGAAGTCAAGAAGCTCCTCTGACTACCGTACACTTCTACCCAAGCCATTAATTTTTTTTCCTTCTTCTTCTCCTTTATTAGTGTATTCCTACCTTACTATATGTAATGGTAATATGTTATAAAGTGTGAATTATAAAACTGAATTGAATTGAAATTGAATTGAATCTTGTACTATATTACTCGGAATTCTATTTTTTAATAAGCTTTTGCTTGGTTGTGCCTGTGTGTGGGTGTTTTTTTTTTAGGTTTTAGACCTTTTGCTCTGCCCAGTGCCTGAAGGAATGATACAAACACTAACAAGTTATATTATAGTATTCCCCTGTTACATTAATCAAGAACAAGTTAAGCAGGAACACTAGGTTTACTCAAAAGAGCATGTGAATCAATCTGTGGTAGTATTGCATGTACACACGTATGAGTTACAGTCAATTTGTTGAATTAGTATTAAAATGTGTCATATCTTTTCTTTTACGGGCCCAAATAAAATCATTCAGTATTGTGTGAGGATCTGATTGAATTTTTGTTTTCTTTTAGTGTTGTTGCTTTGTTTTTACTTTTGCCGAAACGTTTATCAAAGGGCTTGTTCTTGGTCTTTGAGCCTGCAGAGATGGTAATTGACGTAATATATATTCAAGCCCACCAAAAAGGGTATAATAGGGAACATTATACTGTAAAGGAATAGAGGTGTTTATTTGATGTTGGTAAATTCTAACGGTACGCAATCAAGACTCACAAACCTGAGACTGATAGTGCACTCATTTTAACCGAGAAGAACAAAATTTCACAACAAAGTGGTCAAAATGGATGCAAAAAAAAATTAAACAAATAACGAGTTTGAAACTGGGCGTGAAACTGAACCAAACACTTAAATCTTAAATAGCAGCAAAAATGACAATACCTTGCATAACATGTGAAGTGTTTAGATTAAGTAGCCGTTCCAAACTTTAACTTACAAGACTGCCATTTCCAGTTATCGTTTTCGTGCTGTCAAGAAGGCATAAAAGTTTGAGTTACGCCGCTCTACTGGAACTTTTACCATCCCTTCTCCCCCCTCCTTTCCCTCCCGATCCATAAGCCTGACATGTACCTTATACGGCAAATGCTATTTCCTTTAATTCAAATTCTGACGGTATATATAGTATATACCGTAAAACTCCGAAAATAAGCCCCGGGGCTTATATTTTGCAAAGGCTCTTTTGGAGGGGCATATATTCGGAGGGGCTTATCTACGGAGGGAAATTTGCGTTTCAAAATCGATTGGGCTAGCCTTATAGTTGGAAGCAAATTTACCGTTTGTGCTTTGTTTTTCTTTGTATTTGAAGGCAATTTTCCAAGTACAAGCCCCCGCGGGGCTTATATTTGGAGGGGAGATTTAACGGCGGGGTTTTTTGCGTTACCGGTTTGGGGGGCTTATATTCGCGGGGGCTCATACATGGAGGGCATTATTTTCGGAACTTTACGGTATTTCCCATAAAAGACATTGATTCTTACAAAACTACACCCTAAACTCGGCTTTAAAGACCATTTAGCATGAAGAATGTTGAATCCCCAAGCCTCCATCCGATAGCTCAAGAGATCACGTATATCATCTTCTCCTGTCACGTATAACTCAGGGGGAGGGGTTACTCTCTACAATGGCATGAGAGGGGAGGCTCCCCCGGAAGGGGCACTTTTTTCAGGGTTCAGGTTTCTTGAAGGGTAGGGATTTCCCTTGTTCAAGTAGATAAATGGGCAGGAAATCTGTCATTTCGGTCGCTAAAAAGACTCAAGAATGGCTAACAGATGCGTTTAATGGCTGTGAGAAAGTCAAGAAAACGTTCTGGTTTTGTGATTTATTCATATTGTAAAAACAGTGCATTTACAGCAGTTGAAAGGGATGCAAAGTTCTAGAGTAGGTATATGAAAGGGATACCACTTTTCAATATCAGGTATACAAAAGGGGTACCTTTTCTGTGTAAGGGTAAGAGGTTGGACCCCGGCATCCTGTTAACTTTTTTGAGAAACCCCTTCCCCCCCCCCTCGCCCGACGGCGTATAAAATGAACCGCATGACATTTTTCACCATTGGATTATATTCACTTCCTTGTTGCTCTGAGAAGTTGATCCTCCTTTGAGAACGTGAGGTAAGACTTCCTCATGAGCTGAAGCCTTTCAGCATCTGGAGAATTCTTAACAGTTTACGTCATTGACAACTAAAATTGTAAACGAATATTCATTCGTTGAATCTTAAGCGCTGGGGATAAATTAAGTTAATTATACATGCCTGCTTTCACTTGATACCACCATCTGTGTTGTCGTCAAATTGTTTTAAAAAGGTATGATCCTCCAGTTTGATGTACTCTCTTTTATTTCAAGAGTGATGTAGACCGCAAGCAATCATCCGTCTTTTTTCTCAAAGCCATGTGCTGCGGCGGAAAAGAACAAAATATGCAAATAAATGGTAAAAAGGAGCTTGCTCTCGCCCTCGTTCTTTACGCTTGCTTACGACCTACCGTGACTCAAAATAAAAATAAGAGTGAGAATGCTTGCTGCAAGCTTTTGTAGTTTCTTATGAGATTTTGGCGGACACGAAAAAGCCATAAAAAATACGCCAAGACATCCGTGTAAAGAGCTATCAAGTATTTGATTTATAGTCAGTCAATTAAGTGAAGCTTATTAAGGTGGTTTTTAAAAACATCCTTTCATTTCCTTGTTAAACTGTTTCAGTTGTTAATAATTATTTCCAAAAAAATGGGTTATACATGACAGGAGAAGATGATATACGTGATCTCTTGAGCTATCGGATGGAAGCTTGGGGATTCAACATTCTTCATGCTATATGGTCTTTAAAACCGAGTTTAGGGTGTAGTTTTGTAAGAATACGGTGTCTTTTATGGGAAATACCGTAAAATTCCGTAAATAAGCCCCTGCATGTATAAACCCCTCCAAATATAAGCCCCCCTAACCGGTAACGCAAAAAACCCTCCAATTAAGGGGGGGGGGGCGGGATCGGCCATTGGTTAGCCCTTTAATTTAGGATCTTTTTACCGACCGTAATGACAGATTTCCCTTCCCTATCATATGTACCTCAACAAGTAAAATCCCTACCCTTATATCAATCTGAAGCCTGAAAAAGGTACCCCTTTCGGGTGAAACCTTCCCGTATAGGTCTGTCATTATAGGGAATAACCCCCTCCCCCCTCCGAGCTTGGATAATCGTGCAGAAATGGCTCATTGAGATTTTATTGTTGGACTTTGTAGTGACTAATGTTTACCTTCTTACCAAATAACGCTTTCTACGGTCTACCGCTCATTTCTTTTCACCATTACGTAGAGAACATAGAATTTTGTTAATCTTTTTAAAAACGTTTTTATGACCTTTACCTAAAAAAGTATAAATGTTAAAATAGTAAAGATGGCTTTCCTTTTTCCTCTGCCTTAAAATAAATCCCCCTGATGCATATCACACCTTTAAATTCATTAACTATGTGTACCCCACACAAAGGAAACGAGGACGTTTGAATCACCATTAGAAATAATTAAGCAGTAGAACCCATTCAATTACAGAAATGTGATTGGTGCAAAGTGCATATAAAATAGACCATTTGCATGATGACGTCATTTTACTGCTACAACCAGAATCCTTCAGGGTTTCGCTTTCTTGTGCAAATTAGGTCTTTTGTTATTTAAACCTCGCTGGGATTACAACATTTAAATATGAAAGGAAAAACGAAAAGTATTGTGGTCGTAGCAGTAAAACGACACCATCATGCAAATGGCCTATTCCTTCGCCAGTAGCACTCGAGGTCCTCGAGGGGAAATTCGCAAGACCTCGCCTACCAGAAGTTTCTTTACACCCTTTAGGCCCCAGTAATGAGTATCCACGTACAATTCACCAGACTGATTTCCATACATTTCCTTCAAAAATTTATTGCGAGTATCTGATTTCAAAAAATCAAAGCATTTTCCCATTAGTGATCATGTTATTAATTCTCATAGGGTTTTCTCTTGATGATGTACTGATATTGTTGAGAGAAAATTCATGTTGATCACCCTTGTTACGTAAATGACTGAATCATAACTTTAACAAAATTTGTGATATATAAGGCTCTTTTTTTTAATCAAAACAGGACAACTTCCATTTAAGGGCGCGCTTGATGGCACGTACCGTCGAATTATTTAGGCATGACACGTACGCTGAAATCAGGGCAGTTGATAGCCAATCAGATTTGAGAATTTTGTTATAGTTATGATTAGAAACTGAGGGAAAAACTTCCATGTTTGTTTGGACACAGACTGAGTGTATGTATTTGATGCAAATCGATCCAAACAGCGCATTCAACAGACGGCCGCAGAGGAGTGACTGACATACCCTTGTTGCTGACTATCTACGAATGGGATCGGGACAAAGTAAGGGACACTCAAAACAAAAAACTATAACTTCCTCGGGATTTTTGGGAAGGGAAAGACAAGTTCAGGTAAAAGCAGTCGGCCATTTTATAGATCTAACACAGAGGATTCATATTGTCAGGGGCACCCACGTCAATTTTTGGAAAATATCTGTTCGGAAGACGATTTGAGATCTAGAATTTTCGGAACATTGTTGGAAAATTTCTTGCTTGCCTGCCTCTCCTAGGACTTTCAAACATCCAAAAAATGGTATAATTGCCCATTTTGAAACGGATTTTTTTACCCTAAAAAGGTCACCTAGAATTTACGGGAGCCTTTTTCTGGCTGAAATTTTCGAAAAGGTAAGTTTTGATTCCTATAATTTCCCGATCACTAGACTTTCAGCTAGGAAATCCGAACAGATGAAAAATTTTTAGGGGATAACAATATGCCTATTTACCGTTTAACTACAAAACGTACTATTTACCGTTTTACTAAAATACGCTTAACAATGCTATGTTTAAGTGGTTTTGATCTATATTCTCGTTGGGTGCCCCTGATATTGTTTTCACCCTATGAACTAAAAACACAACTACTTGATGCCAAGTCGGCCATCAAAAAGAACTAGTACTAATTTGAATAACGTCTAGTCACTTCTTCAGTCTGAACGCTCTTATCTTCAGCTTCGCAAGCATTTTGGTATTAGGAAATAGGCTTATTGGTTCCACGGTTTTTTTTTTCAACTTTTGACATGGGAAAATCCGTCAAATCCGTTGGAAAGAGTCCCTTTCAATTAGTAAAAAAAGCACTAAAGCACTTTCTTTGAGTGTCAACGTATTTAGCACGAAAGTACTAACTGGGACACTATTTTAACGTCTTCTGGCTGGAGACGGGAACGCCATTTTTTATGGTCACCCGCGAAGGTCTAGCCACTTGCAGTGCAAATGAAATACCAGGATTTTTCCTTTTACTAAAAAATTATATCTTCATCGCGCGCAGGGAAGATACTATTTTTATCTTTCACGTGTGAGGATACTGGTGTTGGCCTGGTTACGAAAATAAATAAAAGAAAAAGTTGTGTTTTATGTAGGAATTTCACCAGCATCTATAAAATAAACAGAACATTACATGGCCGCTTGGGGATACGAATTTGATCTTCTCGTGCTGAAAGTATCTCTCTACCGACTTTTCACGCTTATTACATCTCATTCAATTCGTCAAATGTTGGCAATTTTTTTCTGGAGTTGAATTCTAAAAGACTGTATCAAAGGTCAGTTCGGTTGTCGTCTTGTGTTCCCGTCCTCCACAAAACGTGAAATTAGGTATTTTCACGTCCTGGTCGCGCAGTGACGGCAAGGAAATGTACAAAAAAGCGTGACGCACGTGCAACGTTGTTGTTTTCCCAATTTAAACCTATCGCTTTTTTGCCGTTCTCGTTGATGTCGCCGTCGTCGTTGCTTAAGCTTCGTATTTATTTTGGAAATGAATCTACCATTAAATATTTTCATTTACAATAATCGTATTTTGATTTGTCTGTTTGCGGTACTATGATTACAACGTTAGAATCCCTGTAGAGGAGATCAATGGTCGAGCTATAGGAAGAGAAATCACTCGACGCTGCGGAAACGAAGGGCAGCATCGATATCTGAATAACGTGGATTGGACCACATTGAGATTTCTGAGAGCAGCCAACTCATTGCTCCCTGATGCTAGGGACGATGGCGCCAACATGAGAAATTGTGCCTTCATTCTTAGACAACCCGGAAGGGAGTTTGTCATCATTTCTGGAAACGGAGATTGGGAGTATGATTTCTCTGAAGACGCCGATGGCGAGATTTATGGCCGCTGTGTACGCAAGCCCTTTCTGCGCTATGCTTGGGATGGAGCCAAGTCAGCAGTTGTTCGCATATTCTCGTTTGTTGCTTCAACTGCAGTCGGATTTTTGACGGGAGGTCTCTATGGCGGTTCGAAGGCTTTGACAAATTATTCACATTACTGATAACTTACTTGTTTACTTGCGTGTAAATACAAAGCACAAGTTACATCATTTTAGTCTTCTCGAGTTGAGTTAGCTAAGTTTGCTATTTAGCTGTGGAGTTTACACAACTGTAGCTCCCACTGAAGGGGCTCAACCTGTTAGTAATTCTGTGTACAAGAGGTCAGTGAGTATAACTCCCTCGCTTTCTTTAATGTTTCATTCACACGCTGTATTTTTCGTAATTCTTTTTATTTTAAATAAGCTTTTGCTTTGTTCTTAGTTTTTTCCTTTTTTGTGAGGCATTTGAACTTTTTTGCTACCCAGTAACAGAAGGAATGACGCAAACAGCAAAAACAGTCATATTGTACTAATATGATGTTGTTATAGTAATCGATCAAGTTTGTTGTTAGTTTTTTAGGAGGCGTTAGACTTTGTGCACCGCCCGAGTACCTGAAGGAATGATACAAAAACCTAGTGAAAGTTATATTATAATACTCCCCCATTATATTAAATCAAGAACAAGTTAAGCAGGAGCACTAGGTTTACTTGAAAGTGCGAATTAATCTGTGGTCCTAAATCACATGTAAACATGTATGAGTTACAGTCAGATTGTTGTTTAGTAAATGTGTCATGTCTTTTCTTTTACTGTACAAATTGCTTAAATCAAAAATAAAATAATTTTATTGTGTGAGGATCTGATTGAATTTTTGTTTTCCTTTGTTGTTGCTGTTTCGTTTTTACTTTTGCCGAAACGTTTATCACAGGGCTTGTTCTTGGTCTTTGAGCCTGTAGAGATGGTAACTGACTTAATATATATGCAAGCCCACCAAAAAGGGTATAACAGGGAGCAGTATAAAAGGCATAGAGGTCTTTATTATTTTGATGNCCCCTCTGCAGTTTTTTATGGGTATTCAGAGCTATTGAAAGCTACACAGAAAGGGAAGGAGTTGAAACAAGAATTTGAGGGCAGACCTGAGAAAAAAAATTGAAAACTCCTTCACCAGGAGGCCATGCAATAACTGAACATTGCATATCAAGCTTTGACGTGTGCCTAACTTTATTGTGACTTCATTCAGATGCTAAATACTAATATGAAGCACATTCAAGGGAAGGAAGAGTCATTGTCATTTGAAATGCATAAAAGTTACTTACATCTAAATTTCTCACCATTTCATTTTGTTGCCTATTCCTCTCTTGATTTCCACAACATGTTTGTTGGTCATAACCTTAGGAAAAAATATCATTGACTGTGTAACAACAGTATGGTAACTCAAACCACATAACAAACTGATGGACTCATTTTTTAATTGTTATGCCCATGGGGTTAAAACACACTCACGTGAAATTTTAAAAAGTCACAAAATTCTGGTAGAGTCTTATGAAAACAGCAAAAATTATGAGAGTTTCAAAATTTTACTCAGCCATCAGTGAAAATGCATTGAACAAGGACCACTGCAAAACCACAAAAAAGATGAGAATAACAAACTTTTGCGAGGCCACGGATGGAACTTAGGGGCACAATGTGCAAATTGGCCTGTGTTGAAGAGGTAATTTAACTCTGGTTAGTAACATCTGAGAAGCAGTGCCAAAATCCTTGCTCTGAGCTCCCAAATTATGGAGTCAACGAATTACTGGAAATTCAAATTTCCTCTTAACCTGATTGGCAAACAACCTCATTCCCAGGTTCTCTCTCCTACCCGTTGAGAGACCCTGGTTGGGTCTGGTCATGTGTCTCCCAGAATCTGGGTGATTACAAACAAACAATTTGGGGGAGGGGCAGAATAAGTGTGAGATTTGTCTCTGAAGAGCATAGATGGAAAGTGTAGCCAAGAAACTGTGTACCTGACCTTGGCTTAAAGGTCATGACTAGTTAAGAAAAAACCTCAAACACCAAAAATAATGCAAAAAATCCTATGACAGCGAAAGCATAACGAACTTCAGAAAATCTGGATCTTACGGGGATGCTTTCCTCTCCAAATATTGCCAAATGCAGAGGACATCATGGATTCACCGCTTGACAGTAGTCAAAAATAATTTACACAGTAATATTCATACCGATCAAAACTCACTGGATTTGAATTACCATTTCTATGTTGTGAAGGCCACATTAGAAGCAAATGTATGTGTTTTCAAGACTAGGATTATATAGATCGCTGTCCTCACCGACCTCAAAAATGAATTAAAAAATAGATCATCATAAAAGCAACAGGAAGGGAGAATACGCTGCCCGGAAACAGTTTGACTGTTCAAATGAAAGGAGGTAAACAGAATCTTGAAAGAGTATTTCAATTTATATTTTTATCTATGGCTCTGTGCGCTTCAAATTTTTTGTCGTCATTTCAAATCAACCGAATACAGCAACCGAATGGCCGGAAGCATCTTTCTTAAAAATATGGCTTGCACCACCGCCAACTGTTTATTATTCCTTTTTTTTTTATTTCTCTGGATGGTTAGGAATGCTTAGGTTTAGAGGATTTTAAGAAATCACTGGGCTGCATATGTTTTTAAATAAAGTTTTCATATGGACCATGTACAAGAAAGCCTTTCACTTGGAAGGTTATGTTGTCTGTTTTGTCTGTTTATACTGCAATAAAATATTATCTTGACAGTTCACCAAATGTGATATGAATTCCCTGCTCCCATAGCTAGCGCGAAGACCGCTATTGGTGTAGGTTTTGCAGTATCCTGATCCAGCCCGATTACCAGCAGCCATGTCAGGCAAAAATTGACACTTTCAATGAAAGTTTAACGTAGAGGGATTTTCCCTTTAATATAAACACAATTGTGTAGAACTCAAGATCGTAGATCTTTATTAGCAATTGGTGTCGTCAGTTAAACTAGGACAACATGAGTTTTTGCTTTCTCCTCTGGTAAAATAATTAACTTTAGGCGAAAATTTCCCATGGATTCAGTTATAGTTGTAGGGTTAGCAAATCTATCTTGCTCTTGCAGACCCTTGTGATCATTGTGTGGTGAACAAGACACAAAATTGAGAGACAAAGGACTTCTCCCTCAGAATTAATTTTGTTCTGGAGCCACGTGACCAGACCCAACCAGGGTCTCTCTCTCTCGCTCTGTAGGGACGGGTAGGAGAGAACGCTGGGAATGAGGTTGATTGGCAAATTGATAACGGTTTTTTAACAGGTTTTTTTTACTTTTCCATGCACCAGTCTCTATTTCACACAAACAGTTTAAAATATACAAATAGATTCCAAACATGTATGCAAAATAAATGTATAGGGTTGAATGGAAAACTTGCCCAACATACTGAAAACCAACCAATATACTGAAAGAGACAAATCATGATTGTATGCATGGTCATACCTAAAAGGTTTCATAGAATATGCCAATTCATAAATGGCCAGTTGCGGTAAGTTATAAATACCAGTTTATTGCATTCAATATCCATATCCCACCCTCCACGGTTGAGGACTTGTCTTTTCTTCTTGCCCCTGAAGATAACAAAAAAATTGCACTCACCCCAGAAGACTTCCATCAAATATCAGTTTACCCCCTGAAGAATAGGGTTCCTATGGTATCTGAGGAATATGAGTCTACTCCTGAAGAATTTCATGAAAATTTAAGCTCCACCCTCAAAGAATTCAATACTTTTTTACTCTACCCCTAAGGAAATCCTCAGTTTTTATAACTCAGCCAGGAAGTATTCCATGGTACCTCAAAC